GGAGGAGATGAGGGAGAGAAGGCGAAGCCTTCCTCCCTGGTACCTGGCACAGTAGCTATGGCGCTGCAAGGGGGGGCTGGGTCGGTAACTGGTGCTGCGCCCAATGTTGCGCTAATCCACTCGCCGCTGAACTCTTGCTCTCTCGCTGCTCCTCGCTGCGTTAATTGAGCTAACGCTGAACCGATGCGCTAATCCTGAGGACTAACCTCTAGTCCATACTAACCTCCCGCTGAGGTTGGTACCCAGACTTTTGTAGTGCTGGGCCGGCCTCTTACCTGCTGGTACCTACCGGCCTGGACCGTTGATCTGAATCGACGGTCCAGATTCAAACTGGACTTGGCGCCTAAATGTGGCAGCCTCTGCAGCGCAGCCGGTAGGTCCTATGCTGGACCGGTACCGGCCTTGTGGCCGTTTGGCCTCGGCCTCTACCCTAGGCTTGCATGAACCGTCATGGTCCAGGCCCATTTGGGCCTCATCTGAGTCGTCGTCCCTTAGGCCTACCCTGCCTGTCTGGAACCAGGCCCTAACTGGGGCCCGTGTGGCTCAGAATGCCACACACTCCCCCCTTGAAGACCGAGCTTACTGCGAGGGCGAAGCCGTCTATCCGATGTCTGTACGGAGCGGGCAGGTTGGGCACCTTCCTTAGCAAGTCGTTGTTTTTCGTAATGCGAGTAGATGAGGGGTGTTGTCGCCTTCAGGTCAGCTCTTGAAATCCAGCGTGTGTCGTCCGGATCGCATTGCTTAAATGTAACTTTGTACTGCATAGGCTTGTTGCCAAGTTTGCGATGCGGGAGAACGCGGTCGACCTCCTGATGACCATCCATTGAAGGAGGGTCCTGTGACCGTCTACCCGGGAAATCCGTTGCGGAGGTTGGAGTGTAGACTGCCAGCTTTGAAGCGTGAAAGATCGGGTGGACCGTCAAATGTGGGGGGATCTCAATGATGAAAGATGGACCCGCGGGGTCGTCGCCAGTTGCTGAAGTGACCATCCATGGTCCAAACCACTTAGGGAGGAGCTTGCACCAGACGTGCTGCTCGAGCGTGAATTCCTCGAAGGTGACCCAAACTAGGTCGCCAACGTGTATTGGACATGGGATGTGACGCCGGTTCGCTTGCTGCTGCATACGGACCTAAGCCTTTTGCATGTTTGCACGGGCTTTGGCCAGCAGTTCCCTGTACTTCCGTGTAGAAGCGGGGGAGCAAGCGGCGTCGATATCGGCAGCCCGCGGAAGCAAAATGTCTGCGAAGATACGTCCTTTCCGTCCACCATGATGCAACTCGAATGGAGTCACGCCAATCGTCGGGTGCACCGACGTGTTATAGGCGAACTCGATGTCAGGAAGGCGGTCAAGCCAGTACTTCTGATCCGGGCGGATGAGTGTGCGGAGCATCATCTGCGCAGTCTGGTGCGCACGTTCTGTTTGCCCATCCGTTTGAGGATGCCGTGCGTAACTCGGTTTCATGCTGGTGTCGGATTCCACCATGAGTGTCGTCCAAAAGGCTGACATGAAACGAGTGTCGTGGTCGCTGGCGATGTCTTCCGGAACGCAGTGGCTGCAAAACCAGTTGGTATGCAAGAGTCGTGTGATCTCGGGAGCCGTCGCGATACGTGCATGGAAGAAATCGAGCGTACTTGCTCAAACGGTCAATGACCATGAGAATATCGTCGTGGCCAAGGCGATCGCGAGGGAAAGGCCGGTCACATCCATAGCAATGGAGAGACCCGGTTCCCGAGGAATCGGCAATGGTTTTAGTTTGTCGTACGGGAGCTGATGGTGCCCTTTGTTCCGGTGGCAAACTGCACATGACTGATATACCGGTTGACATCGCAGGTGATGTCCGGCCAGTGAAAACGCTGGCGGAGTCGTGCTAGTGTGCGTGCGACGCCAAGGTGTCCCGCCAGCCGTGAATCGTGGTATTCGCCAAGGAGGCGAGTGCACAAGATGCGGTCTTGGGGAACACACAACAAGTCCTTGCCTCGTGTATGGAGAAGCAAGTAGCCGTCGACAATGCGATAGTTGCTTGCCGGCGGGTGATCCGATGATAAGTCCGCATAGAGTGTGGAGAATCCCGGATCTGAATTGTATCCGTTTACAAAGTGTTATTGCAGGTTCTCATCGAGGCCGAATGTGGAGTGCACCAAGGCGCAAAGAACAGGTCTTCGCGAGAGAGCATCCGCTGCCTTGTTCGAGGAGCCGGGAATGTGCTTGGAGGTGAAGTCGAACAGGTCAATGAAGTACATCCATCGACTAATCGTGCTGCTCACCGTGTCTTGCGTCTTGTAATACGTCAACGGATTGTTGTCCGTTGCCCACGTGAATCACCGACGCCTGAGGAGAAAGTGTCGCCAACGCTTACGTACGGTGACAAAAGCTAGCAGTTCCTTCTTCCTCGTATCATCAAGAGTGTTGATGGGTGGCACCTTTTGGCTGAAGTACTCAGCCGGATGCCAGTCTGTGTCATGCTGTTCCAAAACCACGCCAATGCCATAACCGGAAGCATCCGTAGTCACTTTGGTGGGCAAGGTCGGGTCATTGATGCTTAAGACGGGAGCTTGGAGCAAGGCCGTCTTCAGTGTGTGAAACGCATGCCGGGCTTCGTCGCTGAACTCGAAGGGCACCAAAGGGGACTGAAGTCGCGACAATGTTGCAGCGATGCGTTGAAATCCTGACGAAGCGCATGTAGTATGATGCCAAGCTGAGAAAGGAGCGGACGTCGGTAGTACACTTGAGGTCCGACCAATCTTGAATGGCTTTCGCACTTGTCGCGGTTTGCCTTGTACTTGGCGATACGGAGCCGCTCCAAGACGGCGCGAAGGTGCTCGAGGTGCTCGTCCAGCATCCAACTATAAACCAGGATATCATCGAGGTAAATGAGTACGGTGCGGTCGAGAAAGTCGCGGAATTCCATCGTCATGGCCGCTTGGAAAGTAGTCGGGGCATTGGTGAGACCGAAAGGCATGACGATCCACTCAAAGTGCCCATATCGCGTCGTGAACGCGGTTTTGTACCGGCCTCTTGGCTGGATCTTGATCTGGTGGTATCCGGACTTGAGGTCAAGCTTCGAGAAGTACTTGGCGCCGCCTAGTCGCTCGAGAAGATCATCGATCCGAGGGAGAGGGTCGGCGTTCTTGATCGTTTGTGCGTTAAGTTTCCGATAGTCGATGCACAAACGAAGATCCTTGTTCTTCTTCCGGACGAAGAGAACGGGAGCACTGTATGGCGAACAGCTAGGGCGAATCCAGCCCTTGGCTAAGAGGTCGTCTAGTTGTGCCCGAAGCACTTGAAGTTCCTCTTCGCTCATGCGGTAGATACATCCGCGTGGAGGTACGACGTCGTCCTCGAGACCGTGGCATATGGGCCGATCCGGTATGACTCCGACGGGAGCTTGGAAGACATCCTCATAGTTGTCCAACAGCTCAATGATGTGTGGGTCCGACGTATCCGTCTTAGGCTGATCACCGGGTGGGAGGGCGTGAAGAAAACATATGCCCATCTCCTCGATGTCGTTCCACCGGATGGATTGGCGAATGCTCACCGCGGATACCACGTGACAACCAATTGAAGGATGAGGAAGCAGCACCATACACATGACTAGTTCGCCACGCCGATCACGAACGTGAACGGTGCGTCGATAGAAGTTCACCGGATGGTCTTCGCTTTGCAGCCACGATATGCCACGGTGCGTCGAACTTGGTGTCCAATATGTCAAACGACACGGCCTCGCTTGCTAGCAGGGCAAAGTACACCGGCACCGAGTCAACGCATCAGTCGATTGACTTTTGCGTGTGACCATCGGCCAACGTGACATGAGTGGGCCGACTTTTCCTTCGAATGCGCGGGCCAAGGCCGGCGCGTGCCATGAAGTCTTGGTTGATGTAGTTGCGAGTCGCTTCACAATCGATCAAGGCACTGCAGGTCGCCTTTTCGATCTGAATGCGGATGTAGAGGAGCATCGCGTCGATCTGGACGTACTGTTGCGTTGCGTACTCGCGGTCGATCTTCGCAAGATAGTTACGAAGGTCAACAACCGCTACTCCGCCGTCCGTCGACGGAGGTGGTACTGCAGCGTGCAAGTATTCGCGCAGATGCGCCATTAAGGCATTGCAATGCGGTGTTGGCAAAGAACCGGTGGAGGGAAGAGGCAACCATTGGAAGTCCTCAACCGTCAACGGGTCGAGTTCCTCAAGACTCGCCCAAGTTGACGGATCCTCCGATAGAAGGGCTGGTGAAGCAACTGGTTCGTTGTCCGGTGGCGGAACTACCGCGCATGCGCTTGAATCTTGCACGTGGAGAGGCTGGTTCAACGGTGGGACCAGCTCGACAGCATAGTTCTCATACTCAATGCGAGAACTTGCAACTACCGCGTCATCCTCGGATGTGAGAGAGACTGCTAGCAAGGTTGCCGACTCCGGCGGATTGGTAAGTGATGTCGCTGCACTTCCCGCAGTGCTCAGTTTCCCGAGCTTGAACGTTTGACATTCTCCTTGTCCTTGTCAAGGCATTCGCTGGTGATGTGTTTGGTGCTGTTGCACCACAAACAGCATGACCATTTCTGTCGCAACTTGAACATGTCTTTGGTAATGCCAAACTTCGTCCATGGTGTCTGTCGTGCTTCATCCGCCGACGCTGTTTTCGCCTTTTGTTTTCCCCCTCGGGGTCTTGAGCGTTGCGGTGGTATCGCTGCCGCCACATCTCCGTCACTTGATGTAGATGCAGCTGCGGGGTCCTCACTTGGTCCTTGCTGGACCGCTGCTACTTGCGGCGTACGTTGACCTTTTCCTTTCTCCACTTAACCAGGTTGTTGGCGGGTCTCATTGGCCGCACACCGGTTACCTTGTACGAGTTCTCTTGCCTTTGAGATCAGATCATCAAAGGTCTCATACTGGAATTCAGTGCCCAGCGCAGCTGTCAAGGCGTCGCATGACCGAGCAAAAAATTCGGCCCGGATTGCGTCGAATGGTATGTTCAACTCCGGGGTGGCGACGAGTCTTTGCCACTCCGTCAGCCATTCCCGTGACGTTTGCTGGCCTTGGTATATGAGAAAGATTTGTTCATGGCGTGTCGTTTGTCATTGTTGACCATGAACTGGGTCTTCCATTTCTTCTCGAATTCCTTCCACGTAATCTTAGTGTGGAGGTTGGCGATGGTGCATTCCAACGTGACGGCCATGTGTGTCATGAAAGTTTGCGCCCCTCCGATGAGTTGGAGGTAGAGTGCGTCAAGCCGCCAATGTGCGGGGGTGTGATGTACATCCGCCTCTGCGTTGAAAGCCATCCACCATTGCAGCGGATCGGTCTTGTGATAGTCATCGAACTTCTTGATCTTGAAGTTCGGCATCTTTCCTTCCTTGGCGGCAGCGGCTGGTCGTTGCTCAACGCGGTTGCTGAGCGTCTGCAGCTGATTGCTGACTGTCGGCGCTCCAGCAAACTTGTTGATGTCGCCGAGGGATGCGACCACGTGGTTGATCCGCTCTTCGAGTTGCTTGGCCTGCGCGGCCAAGGCTGAGCTGCAGTCTACCACTGCACTGCCTGTTGACGCAGCTGCCGATAGTTGTGCCAACCCCATGCTGACATCGGTCTGCAACTGGTCATTGTGTGTCTGCTGCTGGCTGCTGGCGGCGTGTAGTGTGTTGATCTCGGCCTGAAGGGTAGCGATCTTCTTGTCCAATGCCTTGAATGTTGTTTCATGGCGGATGAAGATCTGTCGCATGACCAGCAGTTCACGTTGCTGCCAATTGCACGTGTACAACAGGTTCTCCACCAGTACTGCTATACCTTCCTTGTTAGTTTCTTCCTCGGTCGGCTCTTCTCGTTCTTCGGTTTCTTGGAAATGTTGTCATCGAAGTAGCCTGCCATACGTGGCTTTGTCGCGTGCAAGGTCCATCATGGCTTGGTAACAAGCTTGGTGTTGACTTGCCTCGACCTGCAGCTGTTGCAACCATGCGGCTGCTGCAGCTTCTGCTGCGGCCTGCTGTCGTGCTGCCTCTGCCTCTACCAGCTGGCATTGAATTTCCTGCTGGCGGGCGACTTCCTCCTCTTCCCACTTGCTGAGTTCAACTGCCGTGGTCTTCGAGTAGAGCTGGAGTCGTTTAAGAAACGCTAGAAGCGGTTCATCGGCCTGCTGTACTGGGATAGGAGGGGTGACCGGCCTCTTGGGGCTGGCTTGTGCATTGTCGTCAGCGGTAGCAGCCATTGTCGTACGTGGCCTGCGCGGAACCCGAGGGGTCCTAGGTCCTTGTTGAGGCTTGGCTCCTGCGGATCCGCGCTCGGCCAGTCGTTGGCTGCGGTGCATCAAGTACTCTGGTCTTCGTCTGTTGCTGATGTTTCACCGCTAAGGTGGCACCTGCTGATGTGGCACTCCTGAGGTGGCCGCTGCTGGGTGGCACTCGGATGCCGTGGCACGCTGGGGTGACACGTGGCTGAGCTGGCACTCTGCCCTCTTGGCCTGCTGCTGATGTGGCACAATGCTGACGTGGTCGGAGACTAACGTCCGTGGTACCGAGAGGAGGAGAGAGAAGGTAGGGTGGGGAGGAGGGGCAGAGAGGCAAACAATGCACAGACAGTCCCTTTCTCCCTGACCTCGAAGTTTGACACTAATCAACAGAAAAAAATTCCCCCCCTGAAAATTTTGAATTTTGAGAAATTAAAGAAATTTTAATCGAAAAATACGAATAAATAAAATTTAATTTTGGCAAAAGATTTAAATATTTAATTAAAGAATATTTAAATTTGCAATAATTAATTTCGCAAAAATTAAATATTTTAATTAAAGAATATTTAAATTTGCACAAATAATTTTTTTTTAAGCAGGTTTAAACGTTTAAACATAATAATTTCACGAAATTTTCATAGGGAGAATTTAGCATCATCACGAGGTCACTCATTAAGTAGTAGATGAATGGTAGCAAGAAGATACACAATTTGCTGGAAAGATTCAACCTTTCAAACGCAAAAAAAAAATGCAGTTTGAAAAAAGTGAAAGTTCCGTAAAGTTGCAGTTTGAATATGGCCATGCTCAGGCCCAATCTGCCTTACTTGGCGTGGTGCCTGGCTGGCACTTACTTCGCATAGACTTGATAGGTCGTTAGGTTAGGTTAGGACTAACCCTAATTAGCGTTAATTAGGTTAATCGTAATTAGCGATTCCTAATTTGCGCAGATATAGAGAAAATAGCGAAACCTAAAATTATAATTCAAACGACCTAATTGCTATGTAAGTTCGAGAAAAGAAAAACAAATTGCAACTTGCGATTTAATGATAACAGAGTGCAGGTGTAGATAATCAATCCATCAATCAATCAATCAATTAATGGCGAGTCATCCAATGCTGGTCTGCTCCGATACCAAACCGTTGCATACTCGTGAAACACAGTCATAAGTATAGCGCAGATTCCCAAAACCGACCAGATCATACAGAGTTAATACAAATGCAAGCGGAAGACTTGAGATACCTTGGACTGACTCGGACCTGACTCGGACTGCAATCGAACACTCTCAAACATTCATCAGGGGTGTGAAAGCCCTGGCCTTAAGCATAGACGAAAGGTCAGGGTCTAAGATCATCCACAGACGAATAGGAGGAGAGAGACGAAGGGAGGAGGAGAGGGAAGATGACGTCAACTCAATGTCTCCAAAGATAGTATCTTGAAATGTCGGAAGTGACGAAAATCCGAAATGTCGCGAATACAATGTCTCACAATGTCTCAGATATCAATCTCACAATGTCAAGTACATCCTCAGGAGGAAGATGAAATCAGATCCCCAAGTAGTCCTCAACTCGTAGTCCCAATGTCGCTGTTCTCAATGTTATCAGAATTCGTAACCATCCTTCATACTGTTGTAGTCCCATAGGAGATCCCAGAATTAGAATGAGACTGAGAAGGTAGGAGGAGAGAGAGAGAGAGAGAGAGAGAGAGAGAGAGAGAGAGAGAGAGAGAGAGAGAGAGAGAGAGAGAGAGAGAGGAGAGAGGAGCGGTGGAGGAGATGAGGGAGAGAAGGCGAAACCTTCCTCCCTGGTACCTGGCACAGTAGCTATGGCGCTGCAAGGGGGGGCTGGGTCGGTAACTGGCGCTGCGCCCAACGCTACGCTAATCCGCTCGCCGCTGAACTCTTGCTCTCTCGCTGCTCCTCGCTGTGCTGCAGCGCTGCGCTAATTGAGCTAATGCTGAACCGATGCGCTAATCCTGAGGACTAACCTCTAGTCCATAATAACCTACCATTGAGGCTGGTACCCAGCCTTTTGTAGTGTTGGGCCGACCTCCTATCTGCTGGTACCTACCGGTCTGGACTGTTGATCTGAATAGACGATCCAGATTCAAACTAGACTTGGGGCCTAAATGTGGCAGCCTCTGCAGCGCCGCCGGTAGGTCCTATGCTGGACCGGTACCGGCCTTGTGGCCGCTTGGCCTGGGCCTCTACCCTAGGTCTGCATGAGCCGTCATGGTCCAGGCCCATCTAGGCTTGATCTGAACCGTCGTCCCTTAGGCCTACCCTGCCTGTCTGGAACCGGGCCCTAACTGGAGCCCGTGTGGCTCAGAATGCCACACACTCCCCCCCTTGAAGACCGAGCTAACTGCGAGGGCGAAGCTGTCTGTCCGATGTCCGTACGAAGCGGGCAGGTTGGGCAGCTTCCTTAGCAAGGTGTTGTTTTTCGTAATGCGAGTAGATGAGGGGTGTTGTCGCCTTGAGGTCGGCTCTTGAAATCCAGCGTGTGTCGTCCGGATCGCATTGCTTAAATGTAATTTTGTACTGCATAGGCTTGTTGCCATGTTTGCGATGCGTGAGAACGCGGTCGACCACCTGATGATCATCCATTGAAGGAGGGTCCTATGACCGTCTGCCCGAGAAATCCGTTGCGGAGGCTGGAGTGTAGACCGCTTGCTTCGAAGCGCGAAAGATCGGGTGGACCGTCAAATGCGGGGGGATCTCAATGATGAAAGATGGACCCGCGGGGTCATCGCCAGCTGCTGAAGTGACCATCCATGGTCCAAACCACTTAGGGAGGAGTTTGCGCGAGACATGCTGCTCGAGCGCAAATTCCTCGGAGGTGACCCAAACTAGGTCGCCAGCGCGTATTGGACATGGGATGTGACGCCGGCTCGCTTGCTGCTGCATACGGACCTGAGCCTTTTGCATGTTTGCGCGGGCTTTGGCCAGCAGTTCCCTGTACTTCCCTGTAGAAGCGGGGGAGCAAGCGGCATCGATATCGGCAGCCCGTGGAAGCAAAATGTCTGCGAAGATACGTCATTTCCGTCCACCGTGATGCAACTCGAATGGAGTCACGCCAATCGTCGGGTGCACCAAAGTGTTGTAGGCGAACTCGATGTCGGGAAGGCGGTCAACCCAGTCCTTCTAATCTGGGCGGATGAGTGTGCGGAGCATCATCTGCGCAATCTGGTGCGCACATTCCGTTTGCCCATCCGTTTGAGGATGCCGTGCGGAACTCGGTTTCATGCTGGTGTCGGATTCCCCCATGAGTGTCGTCCAAAAGGCCGACATGAAACGAGTGTCGCGGTCACGGACGATGTCTTCCGGAACGCCGTGGCTGCAAAACCATATCACCCCAAAGAACGCTTATCCCTTGCCTCGCATAGATGATCTGCTAGATGTTGCAGGTGAGTGCAAGGTCTTCTCCAAGATTGACCTTAAGTCTGGCTACCACCAGATTGAAGTTGATCCCAGCCACCAGCACAAAACTGCATTCAAAACACGCTATGGGTTATACGAATTCATCCTTATGCCCTTAGGTCTTACAAATGCACCAGCCACATTTCAGCGTCTCATGGACAAGGTTCTCCCAACTTCTCCGCCATCAACTCAACAGGTTTGTGGTTGTCTACCTTGACAACATCCTAGTTTTCAGCAAGTCAATGGAGGAGCACGTCAAGCACCTTGAGGAGGTTTTGTAAGTCCTCAAGGAGGCACAACTGCACCTCAACTTAGAGAAATCTGAGTTTGGAAGGGACAGCGTCATCTATCTTGGCCATCGGTTGTCTGCAAACGGCCTTGAGCCAGAGGCAACCAAGAGGTCATACGAAAGTGGCCTCAAGCGGCAAACGTACGTGAGCTGCGTTCTTTCCTTTGTTTGGCTTCGTATTACCGGAAGTTAGTGCCCAAATTTTCTGTCATTGCTCACCCTCTTTCGAGACTAACAAGCAAAAATGTTGCCTCTGCGTAGTGTGAGAAGTGCGAGACTGCGTTCCAAGCCTTGAAAGAGGCTTTGGTAAGTCATCCTATGCTCCGCATTGCAGATCCAAACCTCACGTTCGTGGTCACTACGGACGCGAGTCAGTATGGGATTGGTGCAGTGCTGCAACAAGATGATGGTGATGGTCTGCGCCCCCTCGAATATTACAGCAAACGCATACCCAACCACAAGGTAGCTACCTCCACATATATGAGTGAGCTCTATGCCTTGCGAGAAGCGCTCACACATTGGAAGCACTACCTCTTGGGTCGTCACTTCAAGGTCTACTCAGATCATCAGACCTTGCAGTGGATTAAAACGCAAAATGATCTCTCTCCGACCCTGACCCGCTGGCTGCATGACATTGATAATTACAATTTTGAACTGAAGCATAAAAAAGGTTGTTATAATCGTGTTGCTGATTCTTTGTCGCGTCATCCTAAGTTTTTGACTTGCCTTGTGAGCTCGTTTGACCTCCAAAGGAAACTGAACGAGGGTCTGGTGGAACACACTGCCAAGGATCCGGACCTTAGTCCCATCCTTTAGCAGCTCAAGGCTATCCCTAGCAGTCAGCCTGACTTTCATGAATGTGAGGGTCTTTTATTCTGCTGGTATGGGAAGTTTGATCGTTTGTGTGTACCCAACCATGCGCCTCTCCGGACTCATTTATTGGATTTGGCACATGGTTGGAGTGGACACTTCGGCTTTGAGAAGACTTATGGAAGTCTTTTGTAGCAGTTTGATTGGTCGGAAATGAAGGGATCTGCTCAGAAATTTATTGTTGAATGTCAAGTCTGTCAAAGAACCAAGGTCCATAGGCATGAGCCTTATGGTCTGTTGAAACCCCTTCCCATTCCTGATGGACCCGGTGAGTCGGTCTCTATCGATTTCACGGACATGGGGAAGGTGAGCGAGGAAGGACATTCACAAGTCATGGTCATCGTGGATCGTTTTTCCAAATTTTTGAATTTGATTCCTCTACCTCCTCATGCACAAAAAGAGCTTGTGATCGAAGATTTTCACCAGCAGTACATTCTGCATTATGGACCCCCGAAAACTCTTGGGAGTGATCAGGAGACCAGGTTCATTAGTGTTGATTGGAAGGACTTCACTTCGTAAATCTACGACATTAAACTCAACAAGACTTTTGGTCGACACCCCGAAGCCAATGGATTGGCTAAGGAAGGCAACCAAACTGTCATCCAATTACTTTGCACGTTAATAGTTTCAAATCAGAACACGTGGGACAAGAAGCTACACAAAGTGAAGGGGTTGTACAACAACTTCATTCACTCTGCAACTGGCGTGACACCAAATCAGTTGCAATATGGTTGGCAGCTGCGCAATCCTCTCCCCTATCTGTTACCCGAACGGTCCCCTCGTCTGACACCTGACATGCATCGCTAAAATGCCAAGTATGCACGCTTGCTCAAAGCTGCTATCGCAGCAATGAACAAGCATCACCATGCCATGATCAAACATGCTAACAAGTCACGCAAAGAAGGGAACTTCGAAGTAGGAAGTTTTGTCTAGGTCAAAATGTCTGAGTTTTCTGACGAAGAGAACTTATCACGAAAGCTTCTTGCACTCTACTACGGCCCTTGGCAGGTTCTAAAGGTGGTCGGGGATGATATTTGTCCTTCGTATGTGATTGACGTGCCTCCTCATCTGCGCACATATCCGGTCTTTCACGCGTCCTAATTGTTTTCACACATCGATGATGAGACTTTTCCCTTCCGAGATCCTATGATACCTCGTCCTATCGACGACGGCCATGAGATAGACAAAATTGTTTCCCATGAAGGAAGAGGGAGGAACAGACAGTGCAAGGTTTACTTCCTCTTTCACCTTTTGAACTAGTTCTTCTGGATCGACCAAAAAGAGCTGCCAAAGAATGCTCCCTGTGTTGTTAACGCTTATGAACGACAGATCGTTGATGGACAAACTGATAAGTTTTCTACAAAACTCACTCCTCACGGTCTTACTAAATCTCTCTTTTTGATCTACGCCCACGACACATTTTGTGCCGACTCTGAATGAGTTAATCGCTCGAAGGGACCTCACTCTTAAGAGGGGGGTAGTGTAATGACCCGCCAAAACACAAACTGAGAGCACTGCTGGTTTCTGGGATTTGCCGCTGGAATGAATGCCTTGCTGAGATTCCCGCATTCTGTTGTGGTTTCCAAGTCTGTGTGTGTGTGCGTGCCTGCTGGTTTGCATGCCTGTCTGAGTGCTTGTCGACTGAGTGTGTGTGTGACCCGCAAGGGTACTTGTTGGTTGAAGGGCCTCGCAGGGCCGGTACTTACCTGTGGCCGTGACTTTGAGGGTTGCAGCGGGGAAAACACTCAAGTAGCGGGGGCAGGCTCACGACACTTAGAGCAGCGGGGAAAAACACTCACGTAGCAGGTAGGCCGGCACCACTCAAGTAGTGGTAGGAGTGTCGGGTACTGGAGGCCGAGCAGAAGAAGACAAAAAGTTGGCAATTTTTAGAAGCTCAATAGTGGTAGGTTAGAGGTAAGTCGGTACCAGTCCAAGTAGCCTGTTTTTAGGGCCTTGTCCGGACGATAGTAGAGCCTGCAATGATGTTTCCCTCCGAAAGGGAGGAGGTACCGGTTGCTGGGAGACCGCTCGGCCTAGGAAGTCACCGCCCAAGAGGCCAGCAGGCCGCTATATCTTCCTGAGGAGCAAGCAACTCCTCCTCATTTGCGGTATGTAAGGATTGGCGACATGTTGTTGAGCCAAGCGTTGGACTTGTGCAGCGCTGCCTGGAGGTGAAGAGCAGCTGGGCGCTCAGCCTGGCTATGGTGAGCAGCCCAGCTTGAGGAGGAGGAAGAAGGGGGAAAAGGAGGAGAGTGGCAAGGTACCTACCTGGCTATGGTAGACACCATCTTCATCACCTTGTTGGGCGCTGCATCCGGAAGGCCCCATTTGGGATAGTGCTGCACCAAGGAAGCTCAAGGCAGAGACAGGCATGGCGGCCTAGTCAGCAGCTGCATAGCTGCTTTGGGTTGTCCTTTGGACAGGAGTGCAGAGACATAGCTGTTTTATGTTGTCCTTTGCACAAGAGGGCAGAACCCTCAGTTGTTCGCCATAGCCTAGGCTTGTGAGAGGTGGAAGAAGGGGGGAAGCCATAGCTATGGTGGACCTATGATGATGTCAGCAGTAAGAGGGAACTTCGGATATTGATTCTGGTCCATCCACTCATTGTTATTGTTATTATTATTGGAAGAAGAATAAGATTGACGAAGGAAAGGAGGAGGAGGAAGGTGGAGAGAGAAGGGGGATTCGTCATTGGTCTTGCTGGTGTACATCTTCCTCTTCTTCTTCTTCTTCTTCTTCTGTTTTTTTTTTTTTCTTCTTCTTCTTATTCTTCTTCTTCTTTTTCTTTTTCTTCTTCTTCCTCTTCTTCTTCTTTTTCTTTTTCTTCTTCTTTCTCTCTTCTTTGGTCTCTATCTCTTTGCAAGTGCTTTCATTTCTTTCGGGATTGGGTGACATTGTCTTTCATTGTGAATTTGCACTTTGGGAATGACCAGCATTGTAACAGGCTAGGATTGGGCTCATACTAGCAAGCTATTCTCTCTATTTGTGGTTGGATATGTCTTGTTGGTTTTGTTTATTACACACGGCCTAATTCTTTATCATGCTTTAGAGCATGGGTTGTACAGGTGGCGGATTGGTGTATTCTTGAATCTTCTGTCTTAGGTAAGTTGTTTCTTATCTTCTTCCTCCTCTTTGGCAGTGACGAGGGCATGGAGGGTAGAGTAATCCTAGTGAGTCTGAATTTGGTGCATCTGTTTTGTTGTTCCCAAGAAAGGAGGCAAACTCCGGATGTGTATTGACTACCACGGACTTAAGTGAATCATAAGAAAGAATGTTTATCCTTTACCACACATTGATGACTTGATTGATGCTGCAGTTGGGTGCAAGATCTTGGGTCTTGCTACCACCAGATTGAAGTCTATCCTGCAGACCAGCACACACAAAACCGCATTCAAGACACACAACGGGCTGTACGAATTTATCGTTATGCCATTCGGTCTTACGAATGCGCTGACCACCTTCCAATGCCACATGAACAAGATACTTTATAAACAGATTGGATGGTTTGTTGTTGTGTATCTGGATGATATCTTGATCTTCAGCAAGTCAATGGAAGAACACATAGAACAGATTGAGGAAGTGTTCACCATCCACAAGAAAACGCAGCTCCATCTTAACTTAGGGAAATATGAGTTTGGGAGGGACAACGTCATCTATGTTGGGCATCACTTGTCTGTTGCAGGCCTTGAGCCCGAGGCAACTAAGGTTGAGGTCATTCGCAAGTGGCCCCAACCCTTGAATGTTTGTGAGCTGCGTTCTTTTTTTGGCCTTATGTCGTATTACCCGAAGTTTGTCCCTCGATTCTTTTGCATCACACACTCATGGTCGGGACTTACTAGCAAGAATGTATAGTACACGTGAGAGGACGCATGTGAGACTGCCTGCCAAGCCTTGAAGGAGGCCTTGGTGAGCCATCCAATGCTCCGCATTGCAGATTCCAAACTTACATTCATAGTCACTACAGATTCGAGCCAATATGGGATTGGCGCAGTGCTGCAACAAGATGACGGGGATGACTCGTGCCCACTCAAGTACTACAACAAATGCATACCCTGCGAAAAGGTAGCCACTTCCACTTATGTGTGYRAGATGTATGCTTTSCGTAACGCACTCAATGATTGGAAGCAKTATCTTTTGGGACGCCACTTMAAAGTGTACTCAAATCACGAGACTTTGATGTSGATYAAGRAACAAACCCTTATCSACTACCTTGACCTRCTGRTTSCATGAGATTGATATTTTTTATTTTGAATTGAAGCACAAAAAGGGTTGTTACAATCGAGGTGTTAATGCAGTGTCTCACCAACTGAAGTACATGACTTGCCTTGTGAGCTCTTACGACCTTCGGAAGAAACTGAATGAGGAACTAGTTGAATAAACTGCCAAGGATTTGGACCTTAGCGTCATCCTTGAGAAGCTCAAGGATGATTGTTCGGCTGACCCCAACAGTCAGCCTGATTTCCACAAATGTGAGGATTTGTTGTATCGACATTACGAGAAGCGTGGTCGTTTGTGTGTAACCGACCATAAGCCTCTCACTTCTTGGATCTGGCTCACGACCGGAGTGGACACTTGGCTTAGAGAAAACATTGTCGGAAGCTTTGGTTCTTGAATCGAGTCCCGACCCTTGAGACGGGATACATGACAAGGATGTGCACAACAGAGGAATCCAGAAGAAGGGGACAAAAGAGAATAAAAAAAACAGATGGCGGACAAAGACGGGACTGCCGGCGACAAGAGTCCCAAAATGGGATTTGGGACCGTCAAGACCAAGAGTCCCAAGATGGGGCTCAGGACCAGTAGGACACAGACATTGAGGAAGAGAGGACCGCAAGGGCAAAAGGACCTGGATTAGACTAAGAAAGAAAGCCAATAACAGATTTAAGGATAGTTTGAGAAGGTTTTCTTCCCTGTTTTTCCTGCAAGTCAGAAGAGACGAGGAAAAGGTGGGCAAACATATGCGGAATGACTCCGCTCCAAGGCAGGAACGTACAGAGGGGCACCCACCTACGACAAATTAAAAATGTCAAGCCAATAACAAATTTGGAGGTAGTTTGAGGAGGTTCCGGGAAAAACCGGGAAAGACATGTTTTCCCGCACGTCACAAGGGAAGAGGAAAGAGTGAGCAAACGTGTGCGGAACGACTCCGCTCCAAGGCAGGAACGTCCGGAGGAGCGTCACCTACGAAAAATTGAAAATGCCGTCTGTTGCTCAAGGAATTATTTTTTGAAGCAAGCGGACATAATAGAGGGAGAAGGGTCCGAGAAAAACCAAGGCAAAACGGTATTTCCCGTAATCACAGAGAACAAGGAAAGGATGGGCAAACGAAGACGGAACGACACCATTACAAACCAAGAACGTTCGGGATGACATCAGATATAATATATTAAAATACAGACATCACAAAGGACAGATGATCAAAAGATTAAGTTTTGAACTAAGCGGCTATCGTCAAGGGCGTGCGAACGTGGCAAGCGGCAAGGATGTCGTCGACAGTCGCACGACACATGGAAAATACCCTGTAGGAATGTGATTACCAAAGTGCCGCCGAAAAATAATAAAGGTGACCATACTCCTTGAGGAAGGAGGACCGTCGGGAAAAATAGCACAACAACGCTGGTACTACAAGCGGATGAGATCAGTGGCATCAAGGAAAATAGTACCTTGGTGCAACCACATACGACCCTAGCATGTGACCTAGAGGGTCACCCAAGCGCGGCTTGACAAGAGCCTAAGGGTAGTGGAACTAGGGGAGGGGGTGCAAGCGGACTGCTTAGCATCAACTAGACAAGTGCCCAAGCACAAAAAACCTGAGAAATGGTGGCTCATTGAGTAGCCGAATGGTAAGGGCTAAAAAAGAAGTGAGAAAGTCCAAATTTTGTGGCTTTTAGGCCTTGAAACTCAGAAGGGACTCAACAAGGATGCAAAAGATCACAAGGGCCTTAGTTTGAGATTGCCCGGGTACACCGAATTTGAAAAATGAGGTTTTACTATGGTCCGGGATAAAACGACCAGCAAAGGTAAGGAGAAAAAAAACTAGAGGGAGAATGGGAGAAGTGGGAGAGTGTGGGAGTGAAAAAGGGGCAAGCCACCACATCATGGTCAACTTATCCTTTTCCAAGGAAGGGCTAGGTACAAAATACAAACTTGCATCAAGTCTAGATGCAGTTGGGACTGAAACGGTAAAAAATAGATAATTGGAGGTCAAGGAAAACACATGTTTTAAGTACATCTTGTGACCTAATTCACCCAAGGATGAATCGGGCACAGAGGGTGGGGAAAAAGAGAGTTCAGATACAATGAACTCAGAACTAAAGCTCCTAGAAGCTACCAGCTCACAAACGGACAAAAATGGACACCTATGAGAAAATAAAACACATGTTTAAGGTACATTTTGTGACTAGATTCATCCTAGGTTGAAACAGTCGCAAAATATCTTAGTTTTCTTCATTTTCTATCAGAAAAAAAATAAAGTAAGAGGGAAGTAGGTTGTGATACAACGGACCACAAAAAGTAAAGCAAACATATGTTTCAAGTACATTCGGAACCAATATTGAGTCCAGATGCACTTGGAAATGTGCCACCCCATTTTGTTTTAGTATGGGGCAAGTTTGAGGGCAATGGGGCTAGGAAAATGACCACCATTGCACTCCGAAAATTAACGGGTTGCAAGGGAGTGCTAAGTCCAAGGGAAAATGAGCCTTGACATCCTCAAGATATTAGAAAACGATGTCTCAAGCATTGTAGCAAATAGTAACAGCAAATGGTAACTGCGGGATGAAGATCTAGCGAGCGAGAATATTCGACACACTCGAGATACATGGGAAGAAGAAAATTCGGATTGATGGGGACTAGGGAGTCCCAAATAAAAATGAGACAGCATGGAAAATAATGTCGGGAACTAGAGGGACACAAGTAAAAATAATCACGAATTGGGAATCGATGAGACCGCCAGTAGGACTAGGATATGGAAGTAATGTGAGATGAGTGACAGGGACTTGAGTTGTTCCAAGAAAATTAGGAGACAATATGAAGAATGGATCATCAAAGCAATACGCACCGTCAAGTCCAACATTTAGTGGTTGAAAATATTAACACTATTAGTTTCTGGAGACGAAGGAAGAAAAAAATGAAGAAGGGAGGCCTACATTGCAGTCCGAGATATCTCCGACCGGCCAAGCAAGAGAAAAATGGAGCCTTGAGTGACACTAGGCATTAAATAGGCTGCAAAGAAAAAAATGAATTAAGGAGAGTTCCAAACTGAGACTAACGGTGGCAAAATGAAGCCCTCATGAGTATGTGGGTGTTATTATTGTGACCCGAGAAATAACGGACAACAACTTGATCTAGATCTAGATCAAGATCTATGGCATAGAAAAAAAGTCAAATACTCTTTGACACTTATAAAATTAGAAATGAAAGAAAAGAAAAGACAAAGGAGAGAAAATGGGGGGAGAACGAGACAAAGGGGGAGAAAAAGGTGGAGGAAAGATGCAAGGCTAGTTAGAACTGGCAAGTCCTTTCTGTGACATCATCACTCTGGATTTAGTGGAGGGACGTCCAGAGTGAAGAGATAAGGCCCCAATGGCCTTATCTCGGCAAAATCTAAATTAAAAAGAGAAAAACAAAATTATGGGACCGGTTGTCTTTTGGACAAAATGCAAATCTTTGGGAGAGACAATATGACCATTTTTGGTGATGCCAACTCAAACAGCCAACTCCAAAATGAATTGGCAGCCCAAAATGGAAAAAAAAAAAAAAAAAAAAAAAAAAAAGTTCAAAAAATAGTGTATTTGGTAAAAAACACGAGGCCAAATACACTAGAAATTTAAAACCAGAGCCATCGGGCTCAAATTTGAAGCAAGGACCGCTTGGGGTTAGCTCGGATTAGATCTTGCATTGGATCTTGACCCGATTTGTGGTGGAAAATGAACCGAGGTACAAGGGATGACAAACTTAAAGAAAAAGTCAAAAAGGCCTTTTATTTTCAACCAAGGCTGTCCCTTGACTATTCAGACCCAAGGGGCAACATATGAAGGTGAAAGTAAAGCATGGGGAGACCCTAAAGGCAGTCCGAGTTGGTACCAACCACCCAGACTGCATGTACTTGACCAAAATAATGCCCGGGTGCGTCTGGAGAGACCCACTAGTGAAGGTTTTCCTTGGGGGTACCTCGGCTCACGTTGGGCACTTGGGAGAGGCCCAAGGGTTGGCCGGAGTGCTGTGGACAACCTATTTAAGCTGGGAATGCATTCCGCTTCCACACATTGGCATGAGTCAAGTAGATGCTGACCACATGAGGCCAAGAGAGCACTAGGCTCAGTCAGAGTGCGCAGAGGAGAATTGCTGCCAGTGTGGGAGCTTGAGGTAGACTCTAGGCTGGTGGAAGTGGCTACAGAGGCTGGTGGAAGTGGTGCTGGCCTAAGGGGGTGCTCCGCCATAGCCCTCGGGCTGTGAGGAAGAAGGAAAGGCTAGAGTGAGTCCACTTAGCCCACCTAGAGGGGAGGACTTTATAGCCTTAGTGTTAGGAGATTGCCATAGCCAAAGAGGGGCTGAGAAGGGAGTGATGAGGAAGGCTTGAAGAAGAAGGAAGTCATAGCCGGAGGGCAAGTGTGCAAGGGAAGAAAAAACTTCATTAGGATTGACATCACAAGACCAAGACGCTATAGGAGGTGAGTGGGAAACGAGAAGGTGCTCCCTTTGTTCATCACCTTCTTCTTCTTCTTCTTCTTTTGCTTTTTTTTTCTTTTTCTTTTTTTTTCTTTTTTTTTTCTTCTTCTCCTCCTCCTTCCTCTATTTCCTCTCTTCACTTCATGTCTCTATCTCCTCTCCTCTTCCCTCCTTTTTCTCTATAACTAACATTTCAGACTTGGGGGAAGTAGTTAGTAGCTCCCACAGTAGAGGTTATCTCTGTTATGTCTACTCTCCTCATCTTCCTTGTGAATCACTACTTTGATCTTCGTCTTCCTAAGCTTTGGGAGTGAGTTTCTCTCACTCTCTCTCCATGTTTTGTCCATCTCTTCACTTCCTTGCAAATCGCTACTTCACTTTTTACTTCAACTAGTTCTGTGAGTTTCTTTTCTCCATGTATTGTCTATTTTCTCACTTCCTTGTGAATCGTCACTTTGATCTTTGTCTTTCGAAGCTTTGGGAGTGAGTTTCTCTCTCTCTCTCTCTCTCTCTCTCTCTCTCTCTCTCTCTCTCTCTCTCTCTCTCTCTCTCTCTCTCTCTCTTATTACTTATTACTTGGATTTTCCTTTCACCACGAGGGTGGTCTCATGCACACAGATCACATACATTGATAGGAAGAAGAAGAAGAAGCGAGCGATTGCGACATGAAAAATCCAATAAGCTCAGTACAACAACCCATTCCTCTCTCCATCCTCAATGCATGCAAGCTCATACATGGCACATTAGTGTCAGTCTCCACCTACACACCTGCGGCTTCCCCCTACGCCGCGTTTCGATCAGTTGCCAGCTGATCATCATCAGGGGGGTCCCTCGATCCTCACACCAAAAGACTGGCTACTTCGGAGCTGTTAGTTAAATACGTAGCCGCGTGCCAACACCCGCGGCTGGGCTGTAGCCGTTCCTAGTTTCCAATTATTCCTACTTTTTAACTTTGTACATCTACCCACCGTGACATCCTACAAAGATTCCTCATCTGACATCCTTATCCGCCGGCGTTGCGCTCTCTGAGACGTCCAGTCCGACCAAATCTATGCCTGATTCCCCGTTTCCTACATTCAGGTCGGATTCACCCGGTAGTCCTTATCGGTCGGACGTTTTTCAAACGGTATCTCGCACAAGCCACGTGTCGGATCTCTCAGTCTGGCCCTTCCCAGGTCCCATCCCCGCGAGCGGGCGCGTGTTCGAGTCCCACTGATGCCCCGTCCTCACCTTCTCTCTCTCTCTCCTCTCTCTCTCTCTTTCTCTCTCTCTCTTGTCCTCCTCTACCTCCATCCTAGTAGGATGGAGGTGTCGAAGGTCAATATGCTGTCTTTCTGCAAAGATCCGGATCATCTGTGTAATCACTGTCTCCGGATATGATTTCATGGGCAGTTCCTCCTTGAGGCACAAGATCGGCAGATCCCTCGTCGTTGTGTCGGTCGAGCATCTCATGATACGGTGCAGGTAGCTCAGGATCATGGCTGACTTGGTCTGCTTATCGCTGTAGGATCTGTAGTCCTGGATCTCTTGGTACACCAGGGCTCTGCCTTGGGTCACGCAGTCATGATTCTTCATCACGAGCATGGAGGAGATTTTTGGTCCTTCCTTGTCCACGAGGATTTTGCATCCCAGGAACAACAGCGTGCCATCCCCCTCGTCCGTGCGTTGGATTACTAGATCCGACGGGTAGCATGACAGCAGTTTGTGCATGATGTCCCGTGCTGTACATGCTGCATCGATCTTGTTTCTCACATATCGGATGAAGATCGCCACATCATCCATCAGCCGCAACCCAAGGAGTCTCTTACGATCTGTCTTCAGGCTCTGGATGAACATCGCCTCACTTTTGGCGCATAGGATGCACGCAAGGGCCGGGCTCGTGTGTCCCCCCATGGGGATACCTCTAATCTGTTGTATCAGTTCTCCTTCAGCCAGGCTATAGGAGTGATCCAGCTCATATCTCACCCAGCTGCGTACGGCCGCAAACTTCACCGATTGGTGTCCTTCCCTCGCTTTACGGCCCATCGCCGGCTTCTTTCCTCTGCAGTTCACGTTCACCCTGTCGTATCCCTTCACTTGCATCATCATTGTCAGCCAATCCAACGCCTCTCGTATCTCCTTGTGTGAAAGCTCTGCGAACATATTCTTTATGTCGAAGCTCGCGGTCATGACTCCGTGCTTGGATTCCAGTCCCGACGACCATGATACCAGTCGCTTGATGGCGTCTTCTGATGATGTCGTGTTAAAGTGGAGCTTCCTCGCCAGACAGCCCAGCATGCAGTACAGTGCTTTAGCTACCTTCTTTGCTCCTTCCTTCATAGGTGCGTTCCATGACGGGGCTATAGGCCTCCACCTCGTAGGGTCTTTCTGCTTCGGTATCACGTATGCATCGCCATACCTCCCTTTCTTCCTCCAGGATCCGAGTGACTTCAGCCCCGCTTCTTCATAGTCTCTACTCCCTCGTACTAATGCATCTTCCTCCTTCAGGTCACTCATGATGAAACTATCCCCATGCCAAAACGTATCACGCAGGGCTCACGCATATACCACCGGGCATACTATGTATGTTGCGCCTGGATTTCGGTCCATCGACATACGTACGAGCCCGCGTAATTTCTTCCTCCATTTTAGCGTCTCATGATACCAGTCGTCCCGAGGTGTGTCCCTGCTGCTGACACATTCCTCCACGTCATTAATGCTAACGGTGAGGTTCTTCCCTGTGTAGCTAAACAGTCCTCCGAGGTCATCCAGCAAGGCCGTGATGATCCCGCGCCTCACCTGCTTCGTCCTTTGCATCGGAATATTCCTGGCGTTCAGGAGGAAGTCCGGGGCACCGAGATCCGACAGACTGCATCGCACATGTCCTTCCACAATAGGGAAGGGGCTCTCTGCGCATTTGCAGATGCTACCAGACGAGCGTGCATAGTCTCGCTGGTTGTGAAGTAGGTCGCCAATCGTTTGTTTTTTCATCCAGACGATGCGAACATGCCTTCGTACGATAACAGTGTTGATCTCGCTCAAGCCTAGTTCCCCGATCTTCAGCCTCGCAACGTCGCCCACCTTCTTTCTATCCACTCGATCGTCATATGAAATTTTCACTGTATGTTTCTTTCTAAGATTGATCCCCACCTTCTCATTTACTACTTTCGATATGATTGTCCTAATTCTCTGCCTACTCCTCTTGTCTAGACCCCTAGTAGCTTGGTACATATAGGTGAGCTCGTGGTGTTCTTTCTTCCATAGCAACTTCCTACGCCATGGTTGGGTCAGAAGAAGGAGAAGTTCTCGCCGGACCCTGGCTGGGTAGGTGACAGTCTCTGTTGATTCTCTGATCGTCAGCATTCCTCCGCGTTCGATCAACGCCTTCCCTTCCCTAAGTAGGCACAATGTCCCGCTCATCTCCATCTTCGACATGCCAAACCTCCGTTTGATGACCTTCCAGTCCTCGCACCATATTTCTCCTCTACATTTAATGAGTACATTCTTCCTGCCTTCCTTTATTGCCCGCTCTAGGTACTCGGTCATCCTGGTAGTCGCCAATCCCCCCGTGCCTATAAATCTAAGGATTTGTCCCTTCTTCCCCCGCGCATTCCTTCTCCTTTTCCTTTCCCGTTTGCCTTTCCTTTTCTTTCGCCTTTTCGGTTGCCTCGGGTTCTTATCTTGTAGATTAAGTGCCAGAGACCATCTCCTGATGAGGCAGCTCTCGATCTGCCTACGATCTATCCCGTCTGCTTCTGCCGTCGTTAGTGGTATCGCGATATAGTCATCCGTACCTACCTTTCGCAGCCATCTGTACAGAGGTTGGCATTTATATTCTTTCCCGGTGCTGCAGGCTACATGCTTCGTCCATCTATGTGAGAGATCCCTACTGGTATGACCTATATAGATCTTCCTACACTTCGTCGAGATCAGTGTGTACACGCAGCGAGTAGGCTTCTCCCACTCTATCTTCTCATCCTCCCATAGATCGCGGAACTTTTCAGCCCATGGTACCGCTCCCTGTAACATCAGAATCACCAGGATATATCTAAGCGCAGTGTCGATCTGGTCCCGCACAGTCCTATCTCTAATGCATTTCCTTTAAATTACCATCAGATCCCACATCGCCCAGACTCGGTCGAGGTTCACATGTCAGGCGTCCATTAGATCCAGATCTCTCTCCGGTGTTGCTTCGTCTTCATCGTTATTATGCGTGTTGCTTGTGCGTAGGATGGCCTCCTGCATCCGACTGCTGACCAGTCCCTTGATAGTCTTCTCCCTGGTCTCGTATTCAATCTGTTCTTCATCACAAAGGCATTGTAGTTCAGCCATTGTCCTCGTACGGAGGAAGCTCTTCATACTCATGCAGTAGTCCACCACGTTCATCTTTGATCCCTCCGTTGTGATTTCTCTCCATCCCATCAACGAAGCCTCATTGTCCACCACCAGGTTTCTTCTGGTCTGCGATCGTGTCCTTGGCGTCCGCGGTGTGGTAGGCTCCTCGATCCAGATCCCCAGATTCGGTTGTCTGACCCGCTTCTGAGATTTCGGTGGCCGCAGTGGTGTACCCGGGGTTACTTCCCTCTGCCTCATTGCTGGTCGCGCAGAAGATGAAGGGGCGAATCGATCTTCTTCCAGGTCCTTTTCCCTGCGCGTCTGCTCCATCTCCCATTCTATCTCCTGCTCCATCACCTTTCTCTTTGCGCGTGCTTGTTCTTTCTCCTCCTTCAGTCTCCTTAGTTGCGCCAACTTATGCCGTAATTCTTCTCTCTCTTTCTTCGGGCTCTCCTCCCTAGCCAGCTCTTTCTCTAGATCCACCACTTCCCTTCTCAGTTTTCCAATGGCCTCACGTTGATGGTCTCTGGTCTGCATCTTCGATCTCATGTCTTCCATCTGGCCTAGCAACTTATCGTGCAGGGTCTTCAGTTGAGTGGTCATCCCTGTCATGAGTCTAGCATCGCGTAGCCCTCCTTGCCTATCTATCTCGCTCTTGTGTTGCCGATGCATTTCTTCTTCCCTTCTCTGCCTCTCCTCTTCCAGTTTTTGCCTTTCCTCGTCCTTCTGCCGATCTTTCTTTCCTTCTTTCCCTTGCTAACTCTGAGCATAGTTCTCTCATCCAACTAATGTCCTCCATGTCCTTTTTCTGTTGCCACGTCAGGCCACTATATCTGTAGTAACTACCTCCGCTATTCTCATTCTGGCTATTACTCGCCGTCGCGCCTGCACGTTGCGGGCAGTCCCGCGCAAAGTGGCCGTCCTTCCCGCACGTATAGCACACCATTTTCGTACGTCCCTTCTCCGTCGTACTACCTCCCTCCGTCCACTGTTGATTCTCCCCGTCTCCCACTACCTCCCAATTGCTATCGTTTATTCCCGTCCTCGCTCATTGCACGTCTAGCGACCACCGTTCTAGGTGTCCTTCCCAGTCAGTTATCGCCCCACTCCTCTTACTTGGAGTTTCCTTTCACCACGAGTGTGGTCTCATGTACACAGATCACATACATTTATAGGAAGAAGAAGAAGAAGCGAGCGATTGCGACATGAAAAATCCAATAAGCTCAGTACAACAACCCATTCCTCTCTCCATCCTCAACGCATGCAAGCTCATACATGGCACATTAGTGCCAGTCTCCTTCTACACACCTGCGGCTTCCCCCTACGCCGCGTTTTGATCAGTTGCCAGCTGATCATCATCAGGGGGGTCCCTCGAACCTCATATTAAAAACTGGCTACTTCGGAGTTGTTAGTTAAATACGTAGCCGCGTGCCAACACCCGCGGCTGGGCTGTAGCCGTTCCTAGTTTCCAATTATTCCTACTTTTTAACTTTGTACATCTACCCACCGTGACGTCCTACAAAGATTCCTCATCTGACATCCTTATCCGTCGGCGTTGCGCTCTCTAAGATGTCCAGTCCGGCCAAATCTATGCCTGATTCCCCGTTTCCTACATTCGGGTCGGATTCACCCGGTAGTCCTTATCAGTCGGACGTTTTTCAAACGGTATCTTGCACAAGCCGCGTGTTGGATCTCTCAGTCTGGCCCTTCCCAAGTCCCATCCCCGCGAGCGGGCGCGTGTTCGAGTCCCACTGATGCCCCGTCCTCACCTTCTCTCTCTCTCTCCTCTCTCTCTCTCTCTTTCTCTCTTTTTCTCTCTCTCTCTCTCTCCATGTTTTGCCCATCTTTTTACTAGGGTGCAAATCGCTACTTCACTTCTTGCTTCAACTAGTGTTATGAGCTTATTTCCACCATGTATTGTCTATTTCCTCACTTCCTTGTGAAATGTCACTTCGATCTTTGTCTTTCAAAGCTTTGGGAGTGATTTTCTCTCACTCTCTCTCCATGTTTTGTCAATTTTTTTACTTTGTTGCAAATTGCTACTTCAATTTTTGCTTCAACTTGTGTTGTGAGCTTTTTTCCTTCATGTATTGTTTATTTCCTCACTTCCTTGTGAATCGTTACTTTGATTCTATGTCCTCGTAGGGTGCTTTGGCCTTTTTGTAGTTCCTCGCGCCTTTGAAATTGTGCCTGGCTGCGTGTGTTTAGAGTTTTTTTCCCACAAAGGAGTGAAGTCATTACCATTCCATTTTTTCCGAAACTAAAAGGAATTGCTATGATTTTACATAATCGAGGCAACCGTCAGGCTGTTATATAATGAAGTTTAACAACAAATTTTAACGTAACATATTTTCATAATGAAAACGGAGTCTATTTTGCATGTTTGAAAAACTCAAGCGTTTCGACTGGGATCTAATTTATACTTTGTGCCTCCAGGCGTAGGCTTATTGCAATTTGATGAAAAAAAAATTGGGATAAATAAAATGCGCATATCAAAATTTAAAACTTGTCGACAAATCTTGGAACATGTTGGACAAACAAAAAAACTTGCTTGGTTTGATTAACTGTAATGATAAGTAGATTATATGAGCATTTGATTCTTGATACAAACTAATTTTTTCTAGAAAATTGATATTCAAGTAGGGTTGCCGGCGTTTGGGATGGGCCGAACGCCCGAACC